AAAACACCCCCGCCATAAGGTCCTGGCTGAGGGCAAGAAGAACATAGAATAGCTAGTGGAGAAAAGAGAAATAGTAAATATCAACAATGGCCTTGGGATCAATTACAGAAATGAGGGCTCTAGCAGCTATGAGTGCTTTCTTTCCTGCTTGTCATGTATGTGTATATATTGCATCTAAGGAATGCTGGTGATGGTTAAATTGACATTTTAACCTCTATATTACAGTATATGAGGCATGTCTGTGGTCTCTAGGACTAGAGGTGGGCTGAGAAGAGAATCCAGCATCATCCAGGGTGATGTTACTGACTGGTGGGGCTTTGTGGGTCCATTTTTGGAGAGAAGGTGTATCCTCATTTCAGCAGGGCTGTTGGTCCTATTAGGATTAAGTATGATGTTGTTCTTGAGTGGCATTTAATTATGAGTGGGAGGGCCTGTGTGGACCTTTGAATAGCCAAAGGGGTAGGCAGTGTTAGATTATGTCTCTGGTCTCTAAGTGCTTGCCCTGGCTATTTTTTCTTTTCATCTTGATGAAGAAATTTGTATACATTTTTATAAGATAAGTAAAACCATGCCTTATGTTCTACAAACAAATAAAAATAAATAGATTTAAGTCTCACAATTTGATAAGCACATTAAATGTAAATGATCTAAACATTCCAATCCTATTCATAATTGTCCTGGACATCTAGCTAGTTTAAGAACAGGAGATAAACGGTACTGTGATTGGAACGCAAGGAAGAAAACTGTCTTTATTCACGGATGACCTGATTGTTCATGTAGAAAAATGTGATGGAATCCTATAAGAACTAATGAATGAGTGTAGTGAGGTTGAAAGATAAAAGATCGATATGCAAAAATAAGTTGTGTTTCTCTACAGTATCAAAAATATGAAATAGTTATAGATAAATCTAGTCCTAGTTTTTCCTGCTGCTCCCTCCTGTGCATCCTGTAGTGTGCTAATGACCTGCTTGCATTTGTCAGAACGTGATGTGTTTTATTTGCTTTCTCCTGCCGGTGTACCCTGGACAAGCCTGGACTGTCTTCTCCCCTTGCTAACTTGGTGAATTCCTGTTTTCCTTAACTAATCTGATTACCACCTCTTGAAACCTGCCCTTTTACTTTCCTCTCACCCACCGTGTTCCTGTAACAGCCTTATTATGGTACTTACCGTGTTGTAGTTTATATGTTGGTTTCTTGTTTGTGTTTTTTCTTGTACGAGGCTGTGGCTTCTTTGGGACCGGGGTTTTACCTGTTGATTGAAAACTGTGAGCTACATTATTTTGGTCTAGTTTGGAGATTCAAGCCCCAGAGGGTGCAGGACATTTTATATCACATCTGATAATTTTTTAGTGGAACATGAACTCTGATGTTGTAATAAGTCATTGGAAAATTAATAACAAATACATGTTTTATGCAGAATATCAAATAAGTATATTTGTATGATAAACAGAATATTTTAACAGAATATTTTAACTCAGATTATTTTAGCTTAGAAAGCCGTTAAAAAGAGGCTTATAAAACCATATCACTGTTTTCATATTTGATGACAGTGTTTTAACAAATTGTTTATAATCATAATAATGCGTTATTTAAAAAAAAAATTTTTATTGATTTCAGAGCAAGGAAGGGAGAGAGAGAGAGAGAAACGTCAATGATGAGGGTCATTGATCAGCTGCCCCCTGCATGCCCCCTACTGGGGGTTGAGCCTGTAACCTGGACATGTGCCCCGGTTGAGAATTGAACCCATGACCACCTGGTTCATAGGTCGACTCTCAACCTCTGAGCCACACCGGCTGGGCAATAATGCATTCTTATCATTGTTAACAGTGTCTTACGTCATCTCATTTAACCAATACCATCATCCAGGAATATGAAAATAACGATTATTTCGATTTTACTGTCCAGGAAAGCAAGATTTAAGTACTTTCTCTAGTTCCCATAGATACCAATAAGTGCAGAGATATCCAAAACAGGCTGTTTCGCTCTCTCAAAAGCAGAGCCTGATATTGTGAAATCATCACCATTAACTATTTTACTTCTGAGTAGGCGTCTACTCTTCCAGCCACCAAATTCACTTGAAGCCTATTTCAGAATGGCTTCATTGAGGACATTCTTAGCAACTGTGTGTGTGTTTCTCATTTTTTGACCTGTTGACTTTTCAAAAAAGTGATCTATAAATTAAGTTTATAGATCTCGATTTTTATAGACCAGTTTTATAATTTTACAGATGCTTTATCAAAATTTTGTTTTAATTTTTGAATTATCGCTCTATCACTGAGCCATGTCAAGCAGTTAATAATAATAAGATTTCTGATTAAATAGAGGAACAGCTTTTTAAAGTTTTAATCATTTTGTAAAACAGTTTCAACCAGGACTAATTATTTCTAAATTTACCAGCTTGAAGCAGTTGGATTTTAGCTATAAAGTTTTATGAAAGTGAGGTCTTGTATACCTTTCACAGCAGAACTTCAGTCACACATTAAAACGTTTCATTGAATTCACGTTATTTTTATGAAGCAGAAAGTCAAAATTAATAGAATGTAAGTTTAATAGCATGTTATTAGTTAGCTCTTTTCTATAATATATTTAAAGCCTGTGCTTTTACTGTCAAATTGTCACGTCCTGCTCGCAGTGTTCCTAGGAGTTTTGCCATCGTAACAGATGAACATGCGGCATTGCTGAGCTACGAAATTGTACAGTAACAGTGTAAGTGCTAGTTCAGTGTTATGCGCCATCAACTGATTCTTACCAGACTTTAATATTTTCTCATTTTTAACAAACTTGTTATTTTCCGTTTTGCTTTATTTGCTATTCAAGTAACCGTGTTATCTGTTGTACTTGAGTATTTAATGGCATGGTATGCAGAGACCAAAATTGATCATAGCCCCAGGTCACCTTGTGTTTGATACAGTGACTGACTCTCTGGTACCCTTTATGAAATGTTTATTTGAGCACTACACAACTGGATAAATAAAATGCAGGTTTTCTCAAAACTCTCTTGACTCACTCTTGTCTTTTTTTGTTGTTCCAAACAATAATGATTACTAGTTTTTGGTTTTGTTTTGTTTTTGGCTTGCAAGCCACTTAGAATGGCTTACTTGTAGAATCAGTTGTCATCTGTACTGGTCCTCTGGTTGGTTGCTTAGATCTGCTTTCCTTTTACTTAATGTCCTATTAGGTGTTAATGTAGTTTTCTTATAAAGCAGTTTCTTAATCATAATGATTGTGATCAAGTTATTTTACGAAATTATTGGTCTTGTAAAGAGTATTAAAAGGTTAAAAGAAGACTATTTTCTGCATTAAACATTGCCATAGAGCGTTTAAAGATTAAGTTTCTAAAACTAGCTATTTCTGGGCATTGAATGTGTTCTGCATAGGTTGTGACTGCAGTTTGATTGAGCAGGAAGTAATCCCCTTGCCTGTTATAACACCGATTCATGGGACATGAAAGAAACTGATTCTTGGGAAATGAAAGAAAAACTGAAAAGCAACTAATGTGTCTATAAATGAGATGAAGGAAAAACATAGGCTAAAATGATTTAACATAGTAGGAAGATTTCTGAAGCTGCTATAATTGCGGTAGAATTTAGAATACCATAAATTTAAAAATCTTAACCTCATAACAGCCTGTGAGTTAAGTAAGATAGACTTATTACCTTTAATTTATAGATAAGGAATAGAAGGCTTAGTAAATTTAAGTAAAAATCATTAGGGCCTTGCAGGCTGGGGAAGGATTTCTTAGGGTAAGAAAAGCACAGTCCATAAAAGATTACACGTGTTTTTTAAAAATATATAAAATCATCGGAAGAAGGACAGAAGCAGTACCCAGAAGAGGAAGCCCAGACAATCAACAGCATGAGAAGATGATTAGCCTCACCTAGAATCTGTGGATGCATATTAAAACAGTGGGGAAAACAAAAAACAGTAGTGGGATAGACAATTTGTCAAACATCAGATTACAAAAAATTAAATTACCCAACCCCACTACGTGTTTTCAGAGTTGAGGGAGATGGTAATTCTCATGCTGCTGGGGAAGGTAATTGGATACAGTCATTCTTGGTGCCACTGGAAGTGTTTTTACCTCTGGGAGTGCAGAATTTGAAGCAAACTAAATATCAGTAGGGGAGTGGAATAGGAATGGATACAATATTGTGATGGAAATGATACAGAGTGAATATATATTTATATTTATATTTAATATTTATATTTATTATATTACTATTTATGTGACTATAAAATCACATATATCAAGACTATGTATTTCTTCATGGATATACATGCATGCATATTAATGTATTTAAAATATCCCAGAGGGATATATTCTAAATTCATGTAATTGTGGGTTCTAGATAAAGGGAACTTAATGGAAGGTAATACTGTCATTTTTTTTAATAAGACTTAATAAGACTTAAAGGAAACATGGAAAATGTTCATTTCAGTTCTGGATGCTAAGGATGTGGGCATTTGTTAAATTATTCTTTCTACTTATATTTTCAAAATCTTGTTAAAAAAAAAGTTATAAAATAGTAGTTGAAAGAACTAGTACTTAAATTTAGGAATTGATTCCAAAGTCTAGACTTTTCAATTAATATGCTGCCTCAAAATGAGAAGATATACTGAATTTTACAGTAATAAGAATCAGGAGGATTATGTGTTTATGCTAAAATTTTTTAAGAAGAAAGAAAAGTTATAAGATAAATTAGAAATTGGTATAATCCTATATTATTTTCATATCTTTAAGCATGCTGTTACCATATATATGTATAGAGAGCAACTTGGGTACTTAGGAAAAAGTTACTTTTTATTGTTTAAAATGTGATATATATTTCTATTGCATGTAATGGAAAACATTAGATGATTTGAAATTTTAATATAAAATTCATGAAAATATTTTAATCCAAATATACAATCTGACTTCAAGCTAAAAGAGTGAAAATTAGCTTTTCTTCCATTGTGTAAAGTCAAGAGTGACAAAAACTTCACAGCCTTTTTATTTACAGCTTCTCTCCAAGATAAAATGGCAAAACCCAAAGAGAAAACTCCAATGTGTCTGGTAAATGAGTTAGCCCGTTTCAATAGAGTCCAACCCCAGTATAAACTTCTGAAAGAAAGAGGGCCCGCTCATTCGAAGGTAAGGTGACGAAGCAAGGTGGTGAGACATGCTTATCAAAGTCTATCAGAGTTTTCATCTCAGGCTTTCATTGTGCTTCATTTTGGGGGAGGGGGCAGCTGATGGCCTGAAGGCTCTTAGTTCTATATTAAAAACATTTTGAAGTCTGTAACTAGACAATTTTGTGTTTATTATGGTTTACAAAACTTAGATACAGCACTTCACAAAATCACGTGAGATACAGATATTTTATTTTCTTCTTGTAAATTAAGAAACTCGGGCACAGGAAAGTTCAGTGACTTGCTTAATAGTTCATAAATGTCCGTGCCAACATTGGAATACGTGTTCCTTGGCTCCCAAGTATAGTGCTCTTTCCATTAGATGGTAGCTGCTACAGTAAAAATGCAAGTATAGCAGTGGTTACCTAGTGAGACGTCTTTTCCATTGTTTAATTCCAAGAGTCACCATTTACAAAAGTTGTATAACCAATATTGTTGTTATCTATGCATTCACTTGTCATATTGTTCTTTTAAGTGGAAAAGCAACTTATATTTATATGTAGCCTTACACATACATGTTTGCATATATACATGTTACAAAGAAATCTGTAACTAATGCATTTATGTTTGAACTCTGTTCATCTGTTTTTAAAAGTCTCAGTTGTGCATAAATTTCCTTGGTACATTTTCAGCCTTGGATATTGGAGATTATGATCATGATCATCAATTTTTATATATAATGTGGAAGAAGTTGATTCTATAAAAGTTGGTTAATTTTCATAAAGCACCTAGCTACTGGGTTATTAAATTGTTTTCTAGCCTCTTTTTTTAAAGAAGTAAAATAAGATGAAATTAAAATCCATCAATTTTGTTTTGTATTAAAGGCTTTTATGAAGAATCTCTGGGCAACAATTTATATAATATCTTTTGTGCAGAAATAGAGGGTATGGCCTCGGTCTATCTGTCTAGTCATATATCCTCTTGCATACCCATTATTTCATACCCATTTCATGCTCATTCTCTTTCTGCCCTTGATCACGTTGAACTGTTTTTGTTTCCTAGCATGTTTCATGTGTTTTTCACATCCCTCTGACTTTGCCTGTGCAGTAGTGTCTCTCTGTCAGGAAGGTCCTTTTGCTGTTACTCATTTTTCAATACCCAACTCACATATCACATCTTCCAAAGCTCTGTGAAACTTGTCCGATCCCTCCACTCGGCCTCCAACAGGACCCTACAGCTTTCTCAGTTGTGGTCATCAGTGTGCAATGATGTATGTTGGTCATTACTGTTGTATTAGGCTGGGCTTATTTAGAAGTTATAAAGATTTATTTTCTGTGTTTTATGGTTCCTCTGGTACATGTCCTCTTCATTCCTCATTGCCAATTCCAGGTATTCTTCCTAGAGACCCCCTCTCCCCACCTGTTTGAATTTCATAATGACTGACCCACGTGTGCCCCCATGGTAGACACTCATCTAGGGGATTCTGTCACGTTTCTCATGGCTCACTTTCACTCTCTTGCAACACTCATCCTGTTTTAATTTTTGGTGATTTCACTGTCTAAATAGATTACTGTTCCAACATGCTTATCACTTTTTTTGCACTTCTCCAGTTATCTTGTCTTCCACCCTTTCCTGTGTCACATTCTTGACCTTGTCATCACCAGTAACTGCAAGACCTCCATTATTTTATGATGTCAGTCATTCATCTCCCCATGACACTTCCTCTCTAGCCCGTCCCCTGTAGTAGTTTGGCTTTGGTAGTTCTCCACACCCACAGATGCTTCGAATCTGTCACCTTTTTACCATTTCTCACTCCCCTCAGTCCTCACCTGGTTCCTTATCCAGCTTAAATTCCATATGCCTTGTATGTGCCCTCAGCTCTTTCCCCTCTTGGTTAGTGCTTGTGTGGCAGAATCCCAACCTGAACCTGAATTTGGCCTTTCCTTCTGAATTACGGTTGAACTGCCTGTGGAATGGCCAACCCCACCATTTCTGTACTAGATCCCGCCCTCTCTCACCTCTTCAAGCTTCCTCCATTCCTCCAGCTTCCCTTGCCTTCCCTCTCTTCTATGTCATCAATTTTCCCTTATAATGGGCCAGTGTTGTGGTGTCCGCTGTGGTCCACATTCTTATTTGGGAAGTAGTGACCTACCTTCAGTTTATGGGCTTATTTTTTAAAAAAATATATCTTTATTGATTTCAGAGAGAGGAAAGGAGAGGGAGAGAGAGAAACATCAATGATGAGAGAGTCATTGATCGGCTGCTTTCTGCACGCCCCTGACTGGGGATCGAGCCCTCAACCCGGGCAGGTGCCCTGACTGGGAATCGAACCCTGATCACCTGAATCCTAGGTCGACGCTCAACTGCTGAGCCACACCCGGCTGTGCTATGTGCTTTCTTCTTTCCTCCTTTGAATCATAACAGAATCTCAACAACTTATGGCAGCTTTCAATGTGTGACTTAAATAAAAATAATTATTTTAATGTTTGCCTTGCCCCTTTTTGTTTTCCTGTTCACATTTTAGTGGAACTCTAAAGTAATGTATTATACCTCATGTTACTGTGAGTCATTGGACATTGCTGCATCTCTTAGGTACTCCACAGCTCTTTATTTTTTCTATGGATTGTTGTTTTGATATTCTCAAATCTCAAACGAAGGCTATTGGGATGTAGGGTATAAGGAAGAGGGCCCTGAATAACATAAAATGGCATTTTCTCTTTTTCCTTTATTCCCATATTTTGATAAGTTGTCAGTATACAGGACTAAGTGTTACAAGTGCTGTGCTAGTGGTGGCACATTGAGAAGGTTTCCTTTGAATAGATATCCCTGAGGGAGGCAGTATCACCGGGGGCCTTGAAGCCAAGCAGTCTTTTTTTTTTTAAATACTTGCTAGATTTGCCAGGCTTGATCTTTGCCCTACATCATCCAGATTGTGTGGCCTTGAACAGCTAATTTAGGTTCTCAGTTTTCTCATCTCTAATTTGAGAAATACAATACCTGTTCTAGTGTGGTGTCATGGCATGATGACTTGTAAATTCTTAGCAGTTACGTTGATGATGGAGGTGCCCAGGTAATTTTATCATTGCTTGTTAGTAGTGTATAGAATAAAAAAAAATTCTTGGTAAAGTAATTATTCAGTATTTATTACGTGACAGGCACTGTTCCTGCGCTGAAGCTTTCTCCTGTGCCATCTTCTGTGATATCATTCTGTGTATATTCTGGGTATGAGTCCTTCATTAGATATGCTTGCCAAATATTTCCTCCCAGACTGAGTCTTATCTTTTCTGTGTTTTAAGTGTCTTTCAGAAAGCAGTTGTTAATTTTGATGAATTCTGACATCCATTTGTTCTCATATAGATTGTGCTTTTGGTGTCAGTCATATCTAAGAAATCTTTGACTTATCGAAGATCATAAGATTTTCTTCTATGTTATCTTCCAGATGTTTTATAGTTTTAGGTTTGACATTAGGTCTTAACATTTAGGTATAATGGCCATTTTGAGTTAAATTTTGTATGCGATGTGAGAGATGGAGCAGGGTTTATTTATTTATTTGTGTTTGCATGTGGGCATCCAGTTGTTGAAGAGATGATTCTTTCTCCCCTGCATGGCCTGTGCCCCGTGTCACGCATCAGCTGCCCATGTGTCATATATGTGTTTGTTCCTGGACTCTGTGCTGTTGATCTGTTTTCCTCTCTTTATGCTATGCTGTACTGATCACTGCACCTGTACACTTCCTGAAATCTCATAGCATTAGCCCTCTAACTGTCCTTTTTCAGGATTGCTCGGGCTATTTCACATCCTTTGCATTTTCATATTAACTTTAAAGTCAGCTCATCTGTTCTGTAAAAACACCCTGCTGGGATTTTTATAGAACTGCCTTGAATCTTTAGTTCAATTTGGTGAAAATTAGCATGTTAGAAAAATTGAATCTTTCAACCCTTCAACAAAATATATCTCTCATTTATTTATTCTTTAATTTCTCTCAATAATGTTTTGTAGTTTTCATGGAACAGTTATTTTACATCTCTAGGTTTATCCTAAGTGTTTAACGTTTTTGATGCTATTGTAAGTGGTGTTATCTTTTATATTTTAGTTTCTATTTGTTTTTATTTATCATTGCTAATCTATAGGAATAACTGGTTTTTATATATGGATCTAGTATCCTGCTGTCTTGTTGAACTCACATATCAGAACTAGTAGTTTTTTTTAAAAGATTCTGTTGGATGTTCCATATGCCATTTGTGAATAAAGACAATTTTAAATCTTATTTTCCAATCTAAATGCTCTTTATTTATTCTTCCCTGATTGCATTGGCTAGAATGTATAGTGCAGTGTTGAATATAAGTCATAGGAGCTGATGTCTCTAACTTGTTCCTGATCTTATGGACAGTCATTGAAAATTTCCCCCCATTAATTGTGATGTTAGATGTAGCTTTTTTTTTTTTTGTAGATGGCTTTAAATAGATTGAAGAGATTCTTTTATATTTATCGTTTCCTGATAGTTTTTAACCTGAATAGATGTTGATTTTTGTTATATGGTTCTACATTGATTGAGATGGTCATAGGGTTTTCTGTTTTTCATCTTTTGACATTGTGAATTATGTTGAGTCTCAAATGTAGAAACCATCCTTGTATTCCTAGAATAAAACACTGGTTAAAATGTATTATCTCACCCAGCCGGGCGTGGTTCAGCGGTTGAGCGTCGACCTAGGATCCAGGCGATCAGGGTTCGATTCCCGGTCAGGGCACATGCCCGGGTTGCGGGCTGCAGCCAATCAATGACTCTCATC